TTTCAAGAAAGTCAACTACAGTCCCAATCTCCATTTCAAGACTTATGGGTAATTTTTTCTAAATGCTAAATGTAATAGGATTTCATTTTGTATATGCTTCTTTGTTATAATTACGGTACACTTAAAATATTTTAAATTATCTATTTTCTAATTGTAAAATATTCATACAGTTGAAAGTCGATCATTCATGATGACGTCTAACAAATGCATTTGGAGTATCTTCAGTAGACAAATATTTATTAATGCATGTACCATTTTGATGATGGTTGTAGTAGTTCTCCAAGGTTCAGCTCAATACAATAGAACTGTTTTGACATGTGTATTGAAAATTCGGACATTTGTGTTATGTGACAGTTGTTTCTAGTTACAGATATTCTTCACGTGTACAAATGCTACAATTGACTTAACAATTCATCTCCTTACAACTATATCAAATCCACCTTGTTTATCAGTGATACTGACAAGTCACGTAAATGATCACATCTCTTCCACAACATGACCATCAAACACAATTCACTTGGTACTCACTATATTGTATTTCAACATCTCACCTCTTCTCTTATGAATGTCAATGCATACTGATATGGAAGTCACTGCTACACTGGCTCTCTCTTCAAATGCATTTATTTCTGTGTATGTGATATGAGCACTGAGTCATTTGCAATGTGACAAACATCCAGTTGCATCCAATCTGTTCAATGTTTTGTGTGGTTCTACTCAGATGTTGAGGTCATCATAATCCACTCGACAATCAGATCAAAGAGAAAATTTGGCAGTAGACTGCATTGTATAACACCGATCTCCATTTTGAATGGATTTGTGAGCTGCATGAATTCTCAGTGTAATCCATTGTGAGAATTCCATAACATGATGACCACCTCCTTCAGACACTCCATCATGTCAAACAACAATCCACAAACTCCTACCATCCACCATGTAAAACACTTTCTCATAGTCAACAATGTTCACATATAGTGATGAGTGTGCTACAATTGACAATTATTCAACAATGATCCTCAGTGTTGCGAATTGGCCAGTACATAGTTCTGAAGTTAGACGTCTACTGAATCTATCTTACGATTCAATAACACTATTGAAAACGTTAACATCTTGACAGTACTGTAATGTCTCTGTATATCCCACACTTGCTGAATTCTCCTTCAGTATCCTGATAAAGTATCCTTCTGATGGAGAAGATTTGTAGCTCAGATGGATAATTTAGGTGGAAATTTGTTTTCTAAACTAGATGGTTTGGTAGAGTAGCTTTAACTGCCTTTCCAAAGATCATCAGCACAAACTTAAGATAGAAGTGTTGCTCAGAAGACCAAAGAATTTTCCATAACAAAATCATCCATTTCAGAGGAAAAAACCTCACCTAAAGTCTTTGTTACTGCCGCCAAATCTTTCTTAATAGGGTGTGGAGCATCTTCACATATACCTTCATGTCACATTTAAGTACTTCAGCTGGTATGTTGGCTGATACTACTGATTCTTTCCCACAATTCATTTCTCTTCTTGTCATTCTGTCTTGTTCAATTGTTGGCACGGTGATAATTGCAGTAACATTTGTGTTACTGCCTCAATGTCCATCATTTTCACCAAGAGTGATTTCTTTAACAATTTGTCAAAGTGTTCTACACACCTCTTGCACTACTATATATCCCACCTCAGTGACTGTCTTTCCTCACAAATTATCATGACAAGTCACACTGGTCTACTGGACTTTCATGAAAGATTATTGTTTGAAACACATGGTTCTTGCACACTTCTTTCAGTTTCAAATTGCTCGAATACAGTTGTCGGATATTTTACATATTTCCGCTTGTTAACTATATTACTTTTCTTCACTCAATCATTTAATTCTGACTATTCAATCTGTGCTTCGGTTTTCCCTACTCTGCTCTTATTCCACTGCTACTCACAACTACCTTCTTATCCCCCTTTTCTTGAGTCCTACTTAGGTGATCTACAGAGATCAGACCTTCATTCTTGTGGGGCTCTACGCAGCCCAGCAACCCCTGATTCCTTGGAGCCATTACTGATTTATTCTCATCCAACTTGTTCTCCAAAGTTATTTACTCTTCTTCTGTGAGTAGATTTTGTTATGCATGGGACCAGTTGCTGAGAACGATATCGAGTTCACAATTGATTGATAACTGGGTGGTGACCAATGTCATGCGTGTCGAAGGTAGTCTACATCAACACATAACTGATGTTGTTCATTCCGATATGGGCATTTGGTCATCTTGTCAGGATGGTCATATCCTTTCCTGAACATTTCTCGAAGGCGAACTGCAGCCTCTCGTAAAACCGATCCTTATCATCTCCACCGCTATCATTGGTAGGTGTGTAGCACTGGATGATATTCATTGTAACCTTTTTTCTCTGCTGTAAAGTACGCTTTGATAACCCTGGATTTATGAGACTGTTATCCTAAAGACAATTTTTATGTTCCTTCCCATAGCACTAGTGCAAGCTCTTGTGTGTTGCGGGATTTTATTTTTCTTGAAGAGACTATGGTTATAAATCTCAAAAATTTACTTTTCTCCATTCGGATTGTGTTCAGTCACGGTCAGGTTGTATCTTCTCATTTCTGCGTTTATTTGAGGGTTTTCTCAATCTCCCATAATATCGGAACATTTCATACACCTACATTTGTTAGTTTTTGATTAATAAATGTAACATCTACACTGAGACTTCCAAAGTAGCTTGACTTCGACTATGATATGTCGCTGCTCTTCCATATGAAAATCCTTCGAATCACAGAGTAGAGCTCTAGTGGTCTGAGTGATTTTTTTCTGGTTAGCCTATTTAACAAAGTTATTTTTTATGGGATGAGGCTAACAAGAATAGGTCTAATCTTTCTCCTTTAACCGAGCTTGAAGTCGGTAGTTTGTTCAGAAAGACCTTACTCAAACTTGATTTTGTAAAGTAATCCTTTTTTATTTCTAGCTTTAAGAGAAAATCAACTTTAGAAACGCAATATCCTCATCCCACTGGGACACTGTATGCTAGGTTTGAAGCTATCACGAGTTCACTTAATCTGCGAACGAGAACAAGACTCAGTGACCAAAGACCAGTAAGCTAGCTGTCTGATGTGTCCCAGCCCCACTAACTAGAGAAAGAAGTCCACGCTTGGTATAAGGAAGTCTATTCTGCAACCAGCCAGAAACGAGCGATAATAACAGACACAAATCAAACATATATATACAGCATAAAACTGTCCTGCAAGATAGCAAACTAAAATAAACAACGGACCAATAGCGTTAAAGATTCTCCCAAGTGAGAAGTACGACATGAAGGTGAGAAGAGCACTTTTGGCGCGAAAACGAGGAAATTCAAATTTCCAAAATAAAATTACAAAATTAAGGCATTCACCAAGTGAGTTCTGGGGATCTAACATCACCAACACTGTAGAAACTCAAATTAAACTATAATTATATCAGCATATGCGTATTTTACTCACAAACGTTTAGTGCATCTATTATTCGTGGTTTTAGGAATAAAAAATCATTAGATAAAAATCTAATAATCTGTGAAGGAACATCTAATAACTTTACCCTTCCTAACACAACACCATGTAAATAGGTAAATTATTCGTCTTTCACATGCTCAAGCATCAAATATTTTCCGGACCCATAGCGACCATGTGATAGCAGTCAGAAGTTGAGATAAATGGAATGCATAATATTTTTCTAGTTTTAAGGACATTCTGGTTTGTTTAGATGAAGAATGGTCTGAGATTTCATGCCTCGAGTTACAGAATTAACCAACATCCTAGACAAAGAACAATATCTATCATGACACCGGAGAATACTTTAGAAATCTCCAATATACATATGCTCAACCCAGTCTATCCATTTATAAACCATGAGTTAATGATGTTTAATAACGTCAGAAGTTAGATACTGTCGGAAGTAACAGATGTCTATCTCTAAGCTAAAGATAATATAGACAGGTTAGTAACTGCAGTAGGCGATTTTATGACTGCGTGCTATAGTTCATAAAGTAAAATAAATTGACACAGAGGTACACAAAGTGCCTTGGGTCCTTTAAATGATCGGGACATTTCAGAGAAACAGCGATGGTAATATAATCATAAATGTATGCTATGTGTCCCTCTCTCCCTCTGCGTTTCCCTCTGTTATTATTTCAATCGCCCGTCGATTTCCTTCCTATTATCTTTATTTCAATCTTTTGATGTCACATAATCCACTTCCGATCGGCGCTGCGTATTATTGGTATATGTTAACACAAACACTATACACTAAAACATAGCTTAAGGGCTCTATATCGTCTAAAATTTATGATATATTCATTTGTTCCAGTAATAAAATGTTCTACAGAGAAGTATGATTATTTTTTCAAGGATTTTACACCTTTAAACTTTGTTACATACACTTTGTCAACTTCTAGGGTTATAGAAAATCAAGAATCAAAAGATGTTTTTTTAGAATGATGCATTTTAAAAGAGCAGATAAAGCCATCATATCAATTGCAAACGGAACAAGCGAATTCACGAATTAATGAGCAAATGTGTATATAAATGAAGAAACTACCTTACGGATAATAAACAAAGGCTAATTCCAAGTGGCCAGTCAATAAGTCGGTAGACGAACGTGCATATGACGATACACATCCACATTTAAAAATTGCAAATGAATGGAAGTTAATGACCAATTACCAAAAAATAAATAATAACTTGTTAATAGAGTAAAAACAAGATGTCTGTCAATCATATAATTTAAGTATTAAGCAGTTCAAATAACACTGTAATAGTGTAATGGTTATATCAATGTTCATTCTTTGACTTACTTTACAGTTTTACACGGAAGATTAGTCCTCAGTTTTCTTCAGTCTTCAGAAATAAGGACATCACAAGATATCTTGATGGTTAAAGAACTTCTCCACTAAATTGTAAGTGGAAATGTCCAGTTCTTTTATTCCCGTCAATGAGTCTGTGAATGAACTCTTTTTTTTAATAAGCTAAATATTTAGGTTGCTCCTATGAGAATATTTGTCGCTTCTTCGAAATCACATGAATATTTTGTGTTTTTGTTGCAAATCTTATCACTCAAGATTAGAAAATGGTTCGAAGCTTCTATCTAAGAACGGAAAATTAGACGCATACTCCAGGTGCTATCATGATTTTTAATTATATCTAAACTTACTCTGTGATCAGTGGTAGATCTGAACTAGACCCTAAAGATTTTATAATCACTGACAAGAGCGGTGGTATATACGGAAGAGTTTCAGGGGCAATAAACGGTCAGCAATTTTTAATCCAGAACTGTAGGGTGGGTTGATTACACTATTTAAATTGGTCTTCAGAATTCTTACATTTACCTCTTAGATCACTCAATGACAATCACTATTGATGACTGTTCAGATTGTACTATCGTGACAGGGCCTGTAAAAACTTGGTAAACATATGTTTTTTTACCGTTCAGTTTTTTCATAAGAGACTGTCGACGTTGTATAGTAGCGACTGCATGTCAACAATTCCGGTCGAGGGATTGTCATGATACACTTGTTTTCGTGGCTTGTTCAACAGAACCTATAATTGAATCCTGCACAAATTTTACTTTCGGTCCCTATCAGTGTAGCTATCCAGGTTTAGAAGGTATGAACTGATACTGTGTAACACTGGCTCATGAGCACCCATTCGGGACTTTTGAATATTATTTTATACATTATGTTACTTCCAAACAGTATTTTCGTATTGCGAACTCTAGCCTCTTTTTTTGGTTGTTGTATTCTGTCACCCTGAAATAAAAATATTTATTCTCGGACCGAATGTAATACCTAAGAATTCGTTTTACTTATTCCCAACGTTGGGTCAGAAACCTTTTGTTAATATGAATGTATATACATTTTCAGTAAAAACACTGCTTATCGACCACTTCTAAAAAGGTTCATCTTGCGTCCACCTGATTATCGGCCGGTAATAGCAGTATCTTTTAGATTTTGTTGAGATTGGGTGACCTTCCATAACCAAACCACTGGTTCTGTATGATAGCTTCAAGTGAATCTACGTGGCTTAGTAAGTTAGCCTTAATTTTTTAGATTACCAATCTTTGTGAAGTGTGATTTAAGTTTCATAACACAATAAAGGTGTACCAGTATCACGACTTTTGGGTAGTCATACAAGTTCAGACTTTTATCGAAAAATAATCCTATAACCCAAATAACATAGCAAATGTTTTTAGAATTTTAGTGATGGTTATTATAGTACTCTGTATGACAACCGGTTTTGAGAGGATAGTACAACTGCTGTTTCACCCGCGTCTCTTATCCCTATACTTTAGTATACGAGGAACCACTGTAATTCCCACGACGCAAAGTCGAAACTCCAAGACTGGTACAAGTGAAAATTCATTAAAACCAAAACACAATAACTCTGGTCAAAAATAATAGTTAAACATTCCTTCTGAGTATTAGTTAGAATAAAATCTCATATAAAACGTATCCAGAGTTATAACAAAATTACATACTGTACCTTATGCTGAGCATAGTTTGCGTTAATTTTATACAAGAGTATGCTATTTTGAAATAACATCACACTCAAATGAGTTAATATTATGACAAACAAAATGTCACACTGGAATACAAAACAGGTATTACTCTGAATGTTCGCCGTATAGAATTAAGGACGAAAGTAATGCTGAGCAATAATCACAATGAGTTGGAGATGTTATTTCGCCTTATCATCTCGTCGCACCAACTACCTCGTGTCATTGATAAGATTGCCAATTAAAACGCCAACTTACATGACTTTGGCACTGTGCCAAACCAGTGCGAGCAGCCTGGAGTCAACTCCGAGTACTTATTGGTGATTCTTGCCTAGCTCTGCCCGTTTGAGTTCAGAATGCAATCTCAGCCCTTGCTATATGAATCATGTATCTCAGGCACACTCAGTTTATGTACAAGCGAATCAGATCACATCACACCATAAAATAGAAAGTAGCAGTTATACAAGATCAGGCCAAAATGGATATGATTGTGAGAGACTGTAACTAACAAAATAGTAATAACTGAAAAATAGTAAATCGTATAATAGTCGTCAATAGATCAAATTGAAGCTTATAATGAAAGAAATGTGAATATACATATGATACAGTTACTTAATAGTTAGACAATAAGGATGTGTGCAATAATGGTCCATAAATAATTTCTAGCAGTTACCACTTATTTATTCCTCGCTAGAATATAACAACGACTATACAAATTATGCCTCGAACATGAAATAATGACATTCTATCCGGTTTTACATTCCAATAGAAAATCTAATATTCATAAAGTTGTGCTATAACGTCTTGTAAGTATATAGCATCACTTCAGCAAAGTTATACCTAACTGGAGGTTCGAATCATTGAAATAGTGGTCATGACAACTAGACTTACCCATATCTCCATCCACACGTTATTGTCTTATTTAAATGTCAATTTACACTGAAGTACTTTACATTAAATAGATTGTAGGCTGCAAAAGGCTTTGCTGACAACCTTTGTCATGACTAGGTGACTGTTTCTAACAGTTTTTAAAGCTTTTGAGGTGTGAAAACTTATGAAGGACATCGGTTTTATAGAAATGTATAAGAATAGAAAAAATCCTAATAAACTACTACTAAACCCATATATATTGTTCGTATATTTTAAACTCTCTAGATAAAGGAATGAAAAGATTGTCGGTTTTGCAAGCATCAAGTACATACAATAGACCATATGAACTAACTTTATATTGTAGAAATGAAATATGTCTTACCTGCATGCATGGTAACACTTTGAATTATTTTTTTTCTGTTTCTCTATAAATTTTAGATCATTTTGCTGCGTCTGGCCTCAGCATATTTAATTGCAATTGGTATGATATCTATGATTTCACCCCCGATGAAAATACTGATGCTGTTCATATTTCACTAATAAAAACGACTGATTCAATAGATAACCATATTTTAACACCACAGAAGGCATTAGAACATGAACTTGAAAATAGTAAACTTGAAAATGGTAATATATATTCACCTTAAAATTAGTAAAGTATTTAGCACTACATGTTAAGCATTGTCCACCTCAGTGTTCCGTGTTGCATTTGTATGAAACTGTTTATCTTACAAAGAATCTCATAAATGTACAAAAAAGACTTCGGCAGACAGACATATATTCAAAAACCCACAATGTCTTTGACCTTCAGTTTGATAGATCTGGGCAAAATAAGCAGAACTTAATAAAAATTCTTAGACAATCACTGTTAACCGAAAAGCACAGAACAGTTGTTTCGGTCTAGTATATAACTCCTCAGTAATGCAGATACGTGACCCCAAAAGAATTCAAACTCAGAAATTCCAGAATTTGAGGTGAGAGATTTATTTTTAGACCACCGGGATGGCTTCTAATGGTCCATGTGTTTGGCGCAAAACAGATATTATTGGTGACGATTAATTAAGGTCAAACAAGAGCGTGAATTAATTAAAGTTAAGACTGTAAAATATTGTATGCCAACTCATTGGTGTAAATTTTAAGCGCCAGCCAACAGGACTAGATGCTTTTCGACTCGATGCCTGGCAGAGTTGTGAGTGTTTACTGCTGAGGAGCCCAATATATGGAGGAAATAACCGTCCAGTTCCTCATGGTTTTCATTGGTCGTCCAAATAAGTTCAATTCGTGACGTAAACCATGTGATCCAACAGTATCTACAATACCCTGTGACACCAATTACAAAATGATTGAATCTCTTAACTACTTCATTTATAGTTCAAAAAATTATCAGAAAAAAGTAACAAAACTAAACACTAATTTATAACCAAATCAGTAAACATAAATTAATTACCCTTAAAATTAGTAACAATTATAAAACTACTAGCAACAGTTAACAAATTTCCAACGTGGATACGAGACAACCTAAAAACTGACGAGTAAAACTGAATGGATACTGTCTTGAATTAATTAAATTCAGTCCTTTAGCATGATATTTTTCTGAAATAATTATAAATTAGTATTGGATAAGTGTCATAATTTAAAACCATGTTGTTAGAAATAGTGTTATCTTTCCATATAGTGATAAGTTACCTCAGATTTTAGGAAATATAATGGATTTATGTTTGATTTGGAATATTTATGCTTTCTATTTAAGGTCCTGATTATTTTAATCTTCACTGCCTAATTCAGCTCAAAACCCTCCGACACTACTATTGGCATATATTACTGATTTATATGTTAGTAGTTTGAAATTAAATACGACATTATTCATGTGTACCATTAGTGGGCTGATTTTTTCAAGGTTAGAGCACATACTAAATATCAAAAATGTTTTTACTTAATATACTGACGTTTATGATTTATAGCTTTGTAGTTAACCCCTTCTAAGGGTTGCTTAGCATGAAATATAATATTATTGGGCCAGTTTAGAAACAGGTATCAATAGAAGGGTAAAAAGTAACTCACTTTTTCTAATTTTGAATATCTTGAAAAATATAAACAACACCAGCTAACAAGCAATAATTTTGCGACCTGAAATGATTAGCTTTCATGTGTGGATTTATATTGACTTGTTAGTTTACGGTGTATTTATACCATGAAACTTGTATACCTTAATGTTAGTTTTCCACGTTTGCACATATGCTATTCAACTTCAGAAGTTATCTGAAGAATATAATGGTAAAACACAACACCTTGATAGAAATTATCCATGACTTTATGAAATAGTTATTGTAATATCTCCCACTAATTTGGATATCCCTTATTGAACCTATTTCGTCAACCTTGTATTTTATTCATATAAGAGGTGGGGAGAATATGTCACATCGATCATATTTGGCCGTGTGTCTCACAAGATCATTCAGAAATATAAGTAAGGGCAATCAAACATTGTGTTAAAATCTTAGAAGTAGTCTTAGAAATAAAAATTAATCCAATTTCCAAGCCAATTAACTGCTCACGTTTACCCACACCACGCGCAATACCAGTCTTGCTTGAATCTGTTCAGGAATGGAGTCACCAGATTTCACAGCCCATAAACATTTTTTATGATATTTTAAAGATTTACAAGTGTTTGAATCATAATTTAATTTACAAACTGCTCCATTTTCTTTTTATACTGAGGCAAGTAATCATTATCTTGAAGTGGAACTAACAGACCTGAAGATCTTGTAAATTGTGTATTTCATGTAACATTAGAACCACATGCTAACTATGTTATATTAAAGATATTGGTTCTAAGTTAAATAGAGTAAGAGCAGTGAATTATGAATAAACCTCTTCATAATAATATATCAGATAGATATAGTAAAATCTTTCAAGGTGATCAATAAACAGCTGAGTACTAGTCTTCTCAGTTTTATTTTAGTTATATCTATGAAGTGTCTGATTTATGTGCTCAAGTAACAATCAATAATATTTGTTTGCTCTAGTCTTTCAACCTTTAACTGATAACACCTTTAAAACTCTTTTGCCTGTAAAGCTGTATTGTTATATAATATTTTCTTCTTTTTCTATATTATAATTTTGATTTTAACTGACTAAGCTTAACTCGTATCATTTTTAATTGACATTGACTTATGTTCAGTTGCTTTATCTTAGCACTGTGATCTTATATTTTATTCAAGGTTCTGAAATCTATCTAACATATGATATATATTTATAACATTTTATTCAATATTTCTAACTTAAATCTTTGTTACATCATGCTGATATTTATTCGCATCAACCAACAACTAACTTCATTCTCTTTATGTGCCAAAATATGATTTTAATTTAATAGTTGAATTCATGAGTCAGTTGAAGCTAGACCACCATGGAAATCCTATTGTGGGACTCCTCAGAAATGCGCATCCACGACCTCGCCCTCTGCAAGATTCAAACCTAGGACCTATCGGTCTCACACGCGATCGCCTAACCTCTAAACCACTGAGTTGGCATTCAACGGTGTTAATGTCTAACTTCAACTAATCCACGAAATTGAGCGACACATTCACCATTGTCACAACAGATATGGTTGAACTCCACTGGTCACTGCTTATCACTAGAACTTCAGGAAATACCTCTCGAAACCAGTCACTAGTGAGCATATGATGAAAATTATCAGAAGAGCTTTTTGTGGATATTATAGTAATTTAGTGGTTGAGTCCATGAGTCCAGTGCTTCCAGGTTTTCCATAGTGGTCTAGCTTCAATTGGCTCATAAACTCAACTATTAAATCACTATAATATCCACAAAAAAACCCTTTCTGTTAAGAATTCCAATTTATTCACTGTGGATATTGATACTTTCTAAAACACTTGATTTAAATAGTTTTTATTTAATTAATTAATATACTTAATGATTATGTTTCCAATTATTGAATAACTAATTTTCAGGGGGTATTTTTTCTGACTATTTTATATTTTCATAGGAGATGATGATTCGATGTCTCTTTTGCAACCGTTAATGTCAATTCCATTATCTTTTTCAACTGATAACTCTGTTGTTCCTTTTACAATTGGCAATAAATTATCAAATATTACATTATCTCAATCTACTAATCAAATAATAGAAAAACAATTTAATAAATCTGCCCTAATTACAATATTTCCACATGAATCAGCTATTCAATCAGCTAAAATAATATGTAATTATTTACGAAAAACTAATTGTGTAAGTACATATTCATGGGGTTGATTTTATTTCCAAATTTTATTTAGATTATTAATTTTACATATTCTTACCTTTGACATGTTTAACTCAATAATGATATTGCCAAATGTATTATTAGCTAAAATTAGATGTCAACAAACGATAATTTTATTCTAGCATAGTAAGTGTGCAATGTTTTATGGAGAAGGAGTAGGTTGAAAGATAGCTATCGGCGGCCAGACCAAAACATGGCACAAATCCATGAAGTCACCAACAAGTGGGCTGAGCCTTGTTGGTAGGTGTAGACTACCTGGTTGGGATCCGCGATACCATAGTAACCGATGGTTAGAGATCTTGAATGACATGATTTAAAATCATTTGCAATGGTGCATGTGCATCCACTCTTTGTGTTCTCCCAAATTCTAATCTTCTGAATTCTTCATGTTCCTTTCTTTTCTCTCTTTCCAAACTTATTTCACTGGATTATACTCGTTGAACAACATCTTCAAACCCTAATGTTTCCGATTACTGCTTATACTCTTACTACCTCTACCACTATGGGATTTGAATCAACAATTGTATCACTGTGCTAATTTGGTATGGCAACTTGAACTGATGTACGTACGTACTAATTTCTACGTTGTTGACTGACTGATTGAATTGTGAACAGTAAGTGATTTACGGAGATTGTTGAATTTTATTGTTCTCGTCACAAACTGATCTTAGCTAAACAGCAACTGGAAATCAGGAACTACTAGATAGCTACTTCGTCCTCTAAGAAGTTGACATTGGTTGTATGACAATTATCCATAAACAATATTGGGAGGTATTTGCGCTATATAGTGTATAGATTGAAGTTAAACATGTGAACTTTTGGAAGACGGTTCATTGGTCTGAAAGTCAAGTGGTCTCAGCAAGTACTAAAGGCCCCGAATCCAATAGTCGTTAGGGTCAGGAATGTGCACAAGTGGATTCTCATTCTATAGTGAAACTGCTGTTTAATGTTTCCTGGTTTTCACTGATTGTCTAAATAAGTTTTGATACGAGTTTCCAGCTTTTCTAATGTCCCCACCTTTCATCGATCCCACCCAAAAGTTTATAACTAATTATTTTAAAACTAATATTAAAAGGTTATTGGTATTCAGGACTTTTTAAATGTGGTCACTGTATCATTATAACATAACTTCCTTAGTATCATCTATAATACCTGGTCCTGCCTCTTTCATCAACTATATCTGTGTTCTTGGATTTTTTTATTTATTATTTTCATCAGCAATAAATTAAAGTAAAGTGAATCAGTTATTGATCACCACTAGGGGATGTTTCATACAACAGTTTGGGACTTTCCTTCTATTTTGGACTCATTATTTGATATAGGTTCATCTAATCATAAACGATGTAGGAACTAGCATATACTTGTCCATCCACGTAAGTTGTCATATTTTACATTACCACATGAAGAGATAAAATTACCATAATAATCAAAGAAATTGAAGTAATGGTTGCAACAACGATGGTCAAGAAAGAAATGTTAAGGACATATTTCGAAAATAATTAGTGAAGCTGCTAAACGAAAGGTACGGAATTATAGTAAAACTAATGATCTTGAAGAAAATAGAGATTGAATACAGATGGGTCACTGTTACCATTTGTGAACCACATCATCATCGGTCTCTGAGTAAACAAACATATGTAATTTGTTTAATGAGTAAAAGTTTTTATATTCAGGTTTGAATAACACGCTTTTTGTGAAGGAAAACCTTTGTTACTACTAACTGACTGTCCATACTAAACTAGGTAGAATAAATTTGAATAATGCAATGAGAAGACAAAGTTTATCAGAATTGTGTTATATATTTGTGCAATACATTTCGAACAATCTGATCCCACATATATGTGTTAAGATATTTTTATATGAAGATCAAAGGTCAATTAAACAGGTTGAAGGTAAGCCATAAGTTTGAACTTGTTACCCACGGGTAGAAGACCCAGTTCGTTGACTATTAAGCTACCTTTGTGATAAGTCATGCAAATCGGACGCTATACTCGGTTTCTAAGCTATTCTTGTAACCCCCAAGCTAGAACTATACGGCGACCTGAACACGAGAGAGAAGACGCAACGTATGTGAAAAGTACTTTACTTCAAGGTCCATTTTAATACAGAAAATATAGGGTTTTTATAATATTTTAAATGTCCTTGGGTTGCTTGGAGATTCTGGAATGCTACTAAACATAGTATAACAATAGTATAGCAATAAGCCAATTAGAACCTCTACATGTGACGTTTCACTTCCTTGATGTTTCTGGCTTAAACTTCAAGTGAACGCTGATTGGACGAAATGCTTCTGAGTGTTTCCTGATCCTTACTTGTCTTTTGCGAGAAAATTTCTGGATTACCCCAACACTTTGTACATATGTCATAGTTATCATGCAGAACATAACCAGAAACTTACATTCTCTAACACAATTCATTCTAAGAACTGATGATTTCATGAATTCATAGCAAATCCTAGTCAGGTTCCTTCATAACCTTTAGTCACTCTTCCCTAATGCTAGTCAGTGTTGCAGTGATTCTACCTCATGCTAAGAATACTTAAATGGCACCAATAATATGATCAAAGACAATATAAAGATATTTATATAAGAAGTATAAGTGCCGGAAAATTTCAGTAAATTCAGTTGTTTTGTTTATTGATAAAATCAATAATATTTATGTGCCTATATCCACCATAAATTATTTAGATCTTTTACTCTTCCTGTTGATTCCTCTCTTTTTTTAAAAAAGTAAAATAACCTTTTATTTATCAATTTTCTTTCTTAAATAGTGTACTATTGTTCAAACTAGTTGTTCTCAATATTCTGAACATGAAATTGAACAAATTTTCAAATGTAACTCTAAGGTGTTTAAATCAGGTAAATTATGTAGTTCATTTTAAAATGTAGTTTTCATTTTACATGTTAAATGATCGATTTTATCTAACATTAATCTTTGATCTTCAAATAATTATTGACTATTTAGATTCCATAGGAATGAATCATATTTGATCAGGGCTCCTACAATTATCTTATACTGAATTACTATTAGTTTGTGTTTTAGTCAGTTAATGTATATATATTTCGTCTACAGTGTTGACAATTGAAGTTAAACGGGAAATCCTGGCTCAAATAGGATTTTAGTAACTGGTTATCATGAAACTATCCCAGTTTTTGACAGATTATAAAATTATAAAACATAACTATTTAGCCCAACCACTTTAGTATGTAGGCAATGGTTTCGAATTATTTCTCTTGTGAGTAACTATTATTTGGTTGCATATTTTTCATTACTCACATTTGTGTAGGTCACTCAAAAATAGGTTTCCATTTTAGATATTAAAGTAATTATTATTCGTTTAGCCAGTTTAAATTTTAAATATTTATCACTGGTTCCATCACTGAGCATGTAAGAATGTAACCTGCAATCATCTTCATTGAACACAAAGAACCATATATACATTTATGTTCTTTGATTATTCCTTACAAATATCATCACAAAGAGCTTCACAAGTTAATACCAATTTTTCATTACTTGATCAAATATATCTTCAAACATTTTAATTCATTTATAACCGTTGTGTTGATATGATTCAGTATGTTTTGGTGCATGTTGTCTGACAATCATTCTTATACTAAACAAAATCAGATCTACAACAATAAAATAAGCCTAAAAATATAATTAGCCAATAGCATTTGTGAGCTTAGGAGTGATTAAATAGTATCACAGTGGCTTATAAACAGGCAAATTTTTCCCTTGGACACTAATCACAACTAAAATGCCAAATTTAATATCTAAATCTTTGTTCAATTATCGAAACCTGATTTCATTAAAAAACGAAACCAACCAAATAATAGCGTTTCTTAATCCTTCAACTAAAGGTATGTAATAGTTGAAGGTTTTCAATGACAAAAGTTGGTATTAACCAAAATGTTGGTTAAAACCTTATCAGTGTTTATCTGCTCTCATTCAAATCGGTTTGGTGGGAAAAGTTGACAGCCTAAATTTTTATGAATCACCATTATGTACTTAAATAATTATGAGTAGTTAAAGTATATATATAAATGTTTGTGTCATTTCATTACTAATATTTAAGTTTCAAATTATCCTTTGGTTCAAATATAACTAAGTCAAAAAAATTTCGTATTCAAATTATAAAGGCTGGGAAGCGTAATGAATACCATTCACTGAGGCTACCAAACTTTGGAATTTACGACTTAAGTTGCTTGATATTCTTGGTGATCATTTCTCTCTGAAACCCAAACTGAATTCAAGAACATGGTAATAATATATCTAAATGGTAAAAAATTGCTGGAAAAAATGTGCATTACTTCACCCAAGATTCTCCACCCAATCTGTTATTAACATTCAAACTAGTGCATTCTTTCGGTCAATGAGATGTTGTTCATTCTTTGAAAGAAATAATATTTTAAAACCATAACTCATAGGTATTATTAACAGTTATTATTAATATTTCGTCTTGTATTTTTCAGCTTGATAGTTTCCAGTATCTCTACTGGTTCTAAGTAGGGTTAATTTAATGGGTAGTCATTTATACTATGCCTCACTCTATTTGTCTACTTTTGTCTATTCTCTGTACAATCCCCGAATACCAAAGATCACTTAATCCTGGCTTAAGTTATCTCTTTAACGTTTGAGTAACATGACCTTTTTGGTATCAAGCATTCTGAAAACGGTATCGGAAGGAACTAAAAATGTAAATTTTCGAAGATTCCCTGACTAGGATAATAAATCTGAGTAGTTTTTTTTCCTCTGTTTAATAATTTGTATTGTTTTCTTTGCCTGCTCTAAATTGGTACTGAAATTAAAAGGAATGGAAACCTCAAACCTTAATCGCATCCATACCCACATATATTCTTATCAAACACTATAAATACTGTTAGTTCATACTAACAAACATTGCCCTTCGTTTTTACAACCTAATGAAAAGCTTCTCTTACTACCCGTTTATTTTCAGAATAAACTCATAAAGTCCTTTGTTCATGTTTTAAACACTTAGGAAAACTTTTCCTAAACAACTAAAAAGTTTTTAGTATGACTGCACATACAATTTTACATTTAAAATAACACCTATACATTAAAGAAATAAGATACACACATTTCTATGCATATGAAAAACCAATAAACCTCTTAAGTTTGACCTTAAAAAAACATGGCGTCATAAAATTGTTTACCACACTATCTGCACATAGTTCCCTCAATTTCATACTACTTTTTCCTAAAAACGATTGACTATTTTCTTTCAAAATCACAGTTTGCTCTTAGTTATTTATCCATTATTATAATCACACAAACGTACATATTCAAGAGAATAGTCAGAACTATTCACAAACGCTTCGTTTCATGTGAAATCAAACGGAATGAAACGATGTGAATTAATGAATACCTACAAAATTCTCTGATGTTTCTTCTCTTTTAAATAAAAAAAAAAAATTTTATCCTCTTACTGCATACAGTTCTGATGACTGAAAGATCTTGTTCTTTGTTTTATGTATTCAAGGTGGTTTCATTTTTATCATTCATCTCTGATTGGTTTATTATTATTATTTTTATTATTATTATATCTTGAATGTTTATTTAAATGTAAACATAAACAAAGCATTGGAAATCTCTTGTTATTCTTATAATTCATAACTAAATCTAGATGTGTGTATTTATTAGCGGAAATAAATAAATAAGAAAATATATATAAGATAACATTTGTAAAATCTAAACTTCCAGTCATCGAAATAATCAGTATCATAGTAAATTTATGCATATGTAAACAATTAATAAATTACAAATCTATGTAAACATCACTTATCGAATAGTCTAATGTTAATTGTCATAGTATTTATCTAGATAAGAATAGAATTTCTATGAATTGAAATAAATAACTGTGACACTTGAGTAAATACCTAATATTTTCAGTTAAGTAAACTATAGATAAAACTTGATTGTTATAAAAATGAATATTTAGTTTGTTTGGATAGAATTTAAGTGTATCCCAGCAAAAATCAACAGAAATCTATAAACCATTGAATAAAATTCACTTGATGTTATTTACTTGTATCTTCCCATTGAACACAATATCAATATAAATAAACTTCAATGCATACTACAATCTAACCCTTCTAATAATACCTGCTGTTCATCTACTACTATATTTAATCCTTTAAACCAATAATTATCCTTAGGTTATAATATATTACTCGTAAGTAAGTAACAATAAATTCCAAGAATCTCTTGGAATACGTTTTTTCGAAACTCAAGCAATTGCACACATATCCCTTGTAAATAATATTCGGTTTCAGGGGTCAATAATTCTTACACCTTTAACTATGTAAAAAAAATCAGTATTATTTCATAATCATATGGTTTACACCATGTACTGACCCTACCTCAACAACCAATGGAGATCTGGGAGAACTGGGTAACCGTTTCGTCTACGTATCGGATTCCTCAGCAGTGAGCACTCACAATCCCACCAGGAATCAATCTCAGGTTTTCAATAGTGATCTTACATCAATCGGTTTATGATCTCAATCATAAACTGAATCTCCACAACCCAATACTGATAATTGCCATATGCTCACCAGTGAATAACTTCGTGAGGGAATTCTCCTGAGCAGCGTAGCCAATTCTTGTCAGGTAGAGACAGGTATCTACCTCAGTACAGTGGAAGATGGTCGCTCAATTTTGTGGGTTAGTTCAAATTAAACATTGGCACCGATGGATGCCAGCTCAGTGGTCTAGAGATTAAGCGTTCGCGCGCGAGACCGAAGAGCCTTGGTTAGAATTCCGCGAGCGGGATCATGGATGCGCACTGTTGAGCAATCCCACAATAAAATGAAACGACCGTCCAGTGCTTTCAGGTTTTCAATGACGGTTTAACATCAATCGGTTTATGATCTCAATCAAAAACATAATAATCTCCACAACCCAATATTGATAGTCAGATCTGTCAGACAATGCTTAACCTTTATAACACTGAATCGACATCTAATAGTTTACATCTACAACCCTTGCCAATTCATGATGTTTTGCAACTATTTCCCAGAGTCAGTGGAGATTAAATGACTAAGTCATATAACATATGATTGTTGTTTTATGTAACAGTTAAAACTTAAAAGTTTATCTGAGCTTCAAACCTGCCACACTCTAATTGAAACTGTATAATTTAACTGTTAAAACAACATTAGGTTACTGTTATATAAACACAGAAGACAAATAAGTTATTGATTAGACATCTGAATAAAATAACTAGCTAGCTTATAAACTCATTTTTAATGCTGCATATATAAACTATGATTTTGTTACTGAATATTATTCTCATGTAAAATTCAATCACTGGACAAAGTAGTTGACATAAATCTCTATTTATAGAATACTACACATTCAGTTAGTCAATTCATTAATATCTGATATTTGAGACGGTGGGGAAGATTTGTAGCTCAGGTCGATGATTTTATGGAGTTTTGTTCTCTGTGCTGGATGGTTTGGTCGTGGAGCTTTCATCGTTCTTCTGAACAACATCAACAGCACAAACTTTAGATAGAAATGAAGCGTTCGATTTTCTTCATATATGGTTTACAGCTTGTTCTGTACATCTTGATGTTGATTGGTTCTTGCTGACCTGATCTGATATTTACTGGGTTAGATGTAATTCAAAATAATAATGAAAAAAAGAGTTCATTTCATCAGATTGAAATTTTTAAAACACAAATTTAGTAACTAGTCAAAACTTTAAATAAAATGTGACAAAAAATGATGTCTGAAATTAAAGAGGAAAAATGTATTTGTAAAATCTCAGTGAATGAATTTGAAGTAAATTCAATATCAAACATCAAAATTATCCAATATTAACATGTACATGGTT